CTTTAACAGCCTAAAAGCAGGAAATCCAAAGAGGAAATTCCATCGTCAGTTCCTGAAGTTTTGTAACTCAAATGTTCTTCCAAAAACTAGATCTGAAAGGAATTTTGGTAGCATTTTCTGTAATCTTACCTGATATCTTCAAGTAGCTCACATTCTGCCTGATGCTTGGCCTGAAGTTTTGTCATCTGCTCAACCTGAATGTTTTTTAGCTCTTGTGTAACTTTCACCTACAAAAAAACACAGACCATATATATTTTCTATAGAGTTTAAGTCAAATTTCAACAAGAAAAAAAAAAAACAAAAAAAAAACAAAACAATTCTTAGTCTTCATCTATTTTGAAATTGCACATTTCAGTGGAAAACTCAAACACAGAGTTAAGAGTGCAGTTTAACCCTATGCAACATTCATACAGGCTGATTTCAGTAAGTGCTGTCACCCCAGCAGGCTTGCACTTCACATAGCAAGAATCTCATGCTTATGCCCAACAATTAGCAAAAGTGCAATTTTATTCCAAAAGCTAGGAGGGTAGCTTGTGTGCAAGAAAAAGAGTTTTGCCTACTGAAGATTTTTAAAAAAGCAGGCCACGGGAGGGCAGGGGGAATAAATTACAGTATATACATTTACCACTTCAGTACAAGTCATACAATTTTTAAATGTATTAAACTGTCCTACAGTGGCTATAATTTAAAGATAGCTTAAACATCAAGTTGGTTTTTGATTGTGCATCAGCTCAAAAGAGCCATCTAGAAAACGCTTCATAAGGTTGGCCTTACTTTTTTTAGTATTGGTGTAATTTTCCTCTGAAACTTGTGATCATGAAGCTAAAATTTTAATACTTTGGGAATCTACTTGATAACTGGCAGGTAGCACCACTGGCACAGGCATCAGGAATGATTTGATTTTGGAAAGAAACCTTGGGGTTGTTTTGTTTTTATAAAACAAGAGGTCTTGGCATTTAAGCCCTCTAGTGATCACAGGGAATCCACGTATTGGCCTAAAAAATTATCGCCAGCATATCTGAGCACAGAAATGCCAAACAGTTACTGTAATGGGGGAAGAGAGATGAAAAATTCAGAGGAAAGACACGGATCTCCTTCTTCACTAGTCAGGCAAAAGAATCCTAGGTCTCATCAGCTAGCAAAAACCTCCTCAATTTTAACACTGAAAACAATCCCCCCATCAATAAGCACCCTTTAATCACAACATTATATAAACGCAAGTTTTTCACATGACACAGACAGGAAAAAAAAAATAAAATAAAAAAAAAAAAAAATCACACTTATGCCCACAACTTTAAGCAGAAAAAGTGTCTATTTTTAACATGAACTTTCAACATCTTTGTTTTTATATGTATATGAAAAAAGCCCTACTCAAAATAAACCCACAGATGACGACCCATGTAATGGAAATAATCTCAAATGAAACAATATAGGCAAAGAATGACAGCATGTAATAGAAATAAGCCGCTGAATGCAAACTAAAATAGCAGTAAGAACTGCTTAACAAAAGCAAAGTCCACCCACAAAACAAGGGGTCGGGGATGCAGGAATGAGCCAAGGAGAGATCTCTGCAGCCGCCTGCCAGGGCTACCGGGGAGCTCAGGGGATGACAAGGGATTTCTGTTTATGCTCCCTCTCAAGTCTTCCTCCCCTCCCAATATCTCCTAGTCACTAATATACATTTCTTCACCCGGCAAACCCCTGCAATTTCCTCTCCTCACTGAGAAATCTCAACATCACATATGAAATCTCAACCATCTACGGCGAGCTACGACAATCAGTCTGCAAATGGTTACAGCCCAAACCACCCTCATCGGGCAGCACTGCAAAGAATATATAGCACACACAAATCTCAAAACCACAAAACTCCCTTCCATAGCGCCTGTAAAAGAGCAGCCTCTCCATCCTGAGACCTGCTTCACCACCTCTAGCTCCTTCTTCCTCCCCACACCTCAACCATTGCATACAACCCTCAAAATAACCAGCCAATAAACCTCCGTGTATCAGTAGTTACACGTAGCTCAAGATCCCACTACACCTCAAGTCTCCCTGATAACCTGCCTATGCAGACAAGCCATGCTAGGAACAGCCTTTTTTCCCAAATCTACGTTCCTTCTTATATCTCTTCCCAAACCAGCCCCCCGTTAATGCAAAGCGCCCCATATTCCCATGGACCACATGGACACAAGAAAGCCTTCCCGCTGCATTTGCGGATTGTTCCCATCACAACTACGTCGCATTTTTGGCTGCCCCAGTTTGCCCCCACTCCTGATATACACCGGGATAGCCTGCATCCTTAACTCCAGACACGACCTTCTGCTCCAAGACAACCAACCCACAGCTGTTGCCATCAACCCACCATAGTACCCAAACACTGCTGAGCCCCCAAAATACACCCCGTAGCAGCCCACAACCAGCACAGACAGTCTCAAGCCCTCTGCAGTCACTGACCCCCCTCCCAGCCCTACCTAGTCACTGCTCTCCTTTATTTGGGAAGCCCCACTGGGGTATGGGGTTCACCCCAACACCCACTACCCAACCTGCACCTCTTTCCTCACGAGCCCTTCCCCATGTCCTGTCCTGCCTCCAGAGCTCACCATCCCACACCCCCACCACCCCTGGACCCCATGCCCAGTTTCCAACACACACCCCCCCCCCATGCATTTCCCCCTTCCCCACCTTGCATGGCCCCTAATTCGCCCCTCCACCCCCTCAACACTTGCTCTCCCTCCCCAAGCCCACCTCCAGACTCCACCACCGCACAGCCCACGGGGAACCCAACCTGCTTCCCCATTCCCCCCCCACCCCCGTGCCCTTAAACCCCCCTCATCCACCCCTCAACCCCCCCCAACACCCACCCATACCCCCACCCTAAGGGCCCCTCCATCCCCCACCCCAAACCTACCCCATCTCAAACACCCCCCACCCTCCCAACGAGCCCTCGGCCGCACCCCCCCAGCCCCCCTCACTTCCCCTGGGGGGGGGACGGACACCCTCACCTTCCTCGGCGGGGGCTGCATGGTGCTATACGCTGGGTCTCCACATCAATTCCCTCCCCCCCGGCAGCAGGATGCGGCCCCCGCTGCAGGAGAAGGAGGAGGAGGAGGAGGAGGAGCGGGCAGCGAGGGTCTCTCTCCCGGTTCGGGGCGAGTCCCGGTCGGCGGGAGGAGCGGGGATAAGGAGGGGAGGGGGAGGTTTGAGGGGGAAAGAGGCCGCCTCTTCCTCACGGGCAGCGGCGGGCGGGAGCCGAGCAGCGTCCCGAGTCCCGGCCCTGGGGAGCGGGGAGGGAAAGGAGGCGGGGGAGGGAAGGCGGGGACGGAGCTGAGGTGGAGGGAGGGAGAGGAGGGCAGGGGAGGGGAGAAGGGGAGGGGGGGGAGTGACTTTGGGAAAAAAAAAAAAAAAAAAAAAGGGAAAGGGGGGGGGGGGGAAGAAAAAAAAAAAAAAAAAAAGAGGCGTTGGAGCGCGGCTCGGGAGCGCCCCGCTGAGGGGACGCGCGCCCTGCCAGCGGCCCGCCCTGCCCGAGGCCTCCCAGCCGCCTAGAGCGGCCACCATAGAGAGGCGGGAGGGGAGAGAGAGGCGGGGTGGCCACGCCCATTGCCCCCCCCCGCCAGGAGCGGCGACTGCGGCCGCTGGGGGGCGCTGGGGGCGCTGGGGGGCGGGGTTTGTACGGGCGGGTACAGGGGGGTGCAGGAGGGGTTTGCACAGGGGTGGGCACAAGGAGGGTGCAGGGATTTGCACAGGGGTGTGCACAGGGAGGGTGCAGGGATTTGCACAGTGGATGCACGAGGGGGGTGCAGCGGTGTGCACGGGAGGGTGTAGGGTTTGCACAAGAGGGTGCACAGGGGGATGCAAAGGAGGTGCACGGGAGGGTGCAGGGGTGTGCACGAGGGATTTGCACAGGGGTTTGCACAGGGAGGGTGCAAGGTGTGCGTGTGCACAAGCGGGTGCAGGGGTTTGCACAGTGGATGCACAAGGGGGTGCAGAGTGTGCACAGAGGGTTGCAGGGATTTGCCCGCAGTGTGCAAGGGTTGCAGGGTGGTGCAATGGTGGGTGCAGGGATGTGCACGGAGTGTGCAGAGGAGGGTGTAAGGCGTGCACGGGGGCTGCAGGGATTTTCACAGAGTGTGCAGGGGGGTGCATGGGTGCAGGGCTATGCAAAGGAGGTGCGTGGGGGGTGCACAGGGAGGCGCAGGGGGTGCACAGGGAGGTGCAGGGGTTGCACAAAAGGGTGCAAGGAGTGCTTGGGGGGGTGAAGGGGGTCCAAGGGGGTGTAGGCTGTGCAAGGGGGGTGCACAGGGGTGCGGGGCTATGCATGGGGGATGCAGAGGGGTTACAGAGATGTGCACAGGGGGTGCAGGATGTGCACAGAGGGGTGCACAGAGGGGTTACAGGGATGTGCATGAGGAGTGCAGGATGTGCACAGCTGGGTGCACAGAGGGGTGCAGAGGGGTTAAAAGGATGTGCATAAGGGGTGCAGGAGGGTGCAGAGGGGGGTGCACAGAGCTGTGCAGGGGTTGCAGAGGGGTTGCAGGGATGTGCATAGGGCGTGCACAGAGGGGTGCACAGAGGTTACAGGGATGTGCATGAGGTGCAGGGGGTGCAGAGGGGTTGCAGGGATGCTCATGGGGGTGCAGAGTGTGCACAGGGGTACCCAGAGGGGTGCAGGGTGTGCACAGGGGTGCCCAGAGGGGTGCATGGGGTGCAGAGGAGGGTGACCACTGCCGACACACTGTACGCTGGCCCAGCCTCCAAGGCAGGAGTGCACCCCAGGATGCAGCTGCAGAGATAGGGGTGCAGGGCACAACCCGCAGCACCCCAGAGGTGCTCCCCAGCAGCAGGCAGCCAGGGTGCTCGGGCAGCCAGGGTGCTGGGCGCGCTCTGCACTGCAGGAAGAGCACCCATCACATTTCCTCCAGCGCTCCACAGGCTGCCCGAGCAAAGCAGGGCAGCAAGAACTGGAGTTCAAGTGTATATATAAGGGACTGTCACCCTCAGACCCTGGGGACTGCAGGTGGAGTCCCTCGAGGCTGGCACCCACACCCTGCTGCACCCCAAGGCCACGCTGACAGGAGCAGAGCACCCAACCATGCACCAGCCCAACCAGCCTTTTGCAGGAGGGTGCTTTTCATCAAAGGAGAAGCAAAGGAGGTAGAACCCATGAGCGTTGTAGGTGTTGGTGAGATGCAGGAGGGTCCAGGAGGCAGAAATGATAGTCCACGCAATGTCATGTTTGGCTGGGTGTGAATTAAAAACCCTTGCTCAGACACGTTCCCCCCCCTCCCTCCGTATTTGTGTTGCTTGGCTTAATTTCTTAGATCTGCTGCAATGCACTCTTTGAAATATTAAAGTGCATTTGGATGTTTCCTTTAAGCAAATTACGAGGGCAGTTTGCAGAGCGTAAGGCAATTCTCATAATTGCATATTTCCCAAGTGCTCCAGCGTTGCTCCTGCTCCATCGCCAGTTCCTTCATTATTGATGAACTGCTTTACTCCGGCTCCCGGAAAATGACCCCTTGCTTTTAAAGATGCTTTAACCATCTTTAAAAAAACTTAAATGCAACTTCAGTTCTCCCTTCTCCTCCAGCTATTAGTTTATTTAGTGCTGCTAATTAGTCAAATTCACCGTCCCAGGGAAACTTTCTCCAAATGATGAGTGAGAGGTGGTGCATCAGTGCATGCCACAAAAACATACTGCATCTCTCTACACCCTGCAGACCCCAAAGATGTTTGTGCAAGACCATGCCCCATACCCAGTAGCAAGTTGAAGTGCATCCAAAGCATTTCCTACACACCTAGAGCTGGGAAAGTGCTTTGGAAAGACAGAAGCATTGAGTGTAATCGTTAATTAATATATGTGTTCCAACTCCTGCGTGCAGCATGATGCTCAAAGCCGGGACAAGGAAATGCAATGGGATGAACTCAGTGGGGATGCAGAATGGGCTGGAAAAAAGCATTTTGCTGGGATAGGAAACATTAGCTGGTGCTCTGGGCTTGCAGGGGAAGTGGGTTTTTGCAGATAAACTCTTAATGGTGCAATGTGCAGTGATCTGCTTCCCCAGCAATAAAATTATTGCGCTGAACTGACGTGAAATGCCACCTCTGCTGAGCTCCTCGTGTTTTAACTCCTTGTCCCAAAACCAAGTGGTTCTGCAAAAGTTTTGCAGGGCAGGCTTCGTTCCTCCAACCAACCCGAAGGAGTTTCCTGCTAAAATATCTCAAAGTAGCATCTGTGCATGCAACATTTTGCACGCACAGGCATGAATCGTCCAAAGGGTTTTGCATGCAGGACCGAGAAGCGCTTTAGGTACCGCGCCTGCAGACAGATGCATCATCCTCCCCTATCATGTGTAACAGTAGCTTTTCTGCCATTTGCTTGTATTCTTCCATGAATAATTTCATTTTTTTCTATTTGACTGCAGATTTCCTGAAGCCTGACCCACAGGGCACTGCAGGATCAACGTGGGTCCCAGGGGAGTTTGCATCTTCAGCAATAAATTGTGATGGATCTGCCTCTTGTAGCTGCCTATGGCACCTCCACGTCTTTGTAACACTGATAATAATCATGATTGGGGGGGGAAATAACATGAAATAAAGAAGATGATGAAAAAGTTAATAGCATAAGTGTCCGAGTGCTGTATATTTTATCAAAAATACTTGTTTTCACGGCATAGCTTGGGTTTCAAGCTGCATATTCTGAGCCTTTGCCCCTTAATTTCTCCATTTTGATCACACAAACAAAAGCAGGACTTGAAGCTAGGTATCTTGCAAAACCAAATGATCACAGCTGATTCTGAACATCACGAATGAAGCTAATGCGTGGGGTTTTTTTTCTTCCTTAACGTACATATGGCAAGGAAGTTCCTGGACAGATGTTGGAAATATAATAACGAATCCTCTCCCAGGCTGGCTTGGTGGCCTGCATCCCCATCAGCCCCCATCTGCTACATCCACCCGCTAATGCAGCTGCACCAGATGTTACTCGCACATGCTTGTGCTGGGTTTCTGTGGTGTGGGATTTTTTTTGTGGTAGCAGGGGAGAGGACTGCAGCGGTGGCCCACTGTGAGAAAGCTTCTCAAAGCTCCCCTGGCTCCAAATTGGAGCCGTCTCAGGCCAAGGCTGAGCCAATCAGTTGCACCTCTGCAATAATGTATTTAAGGAGAACCTGGGAGGGGTTTGGGACTTGTGAAGAGGAGTTGCAAGAAGGATGAATGCCCAGATCAGTGGAAGGAAGGAGAAGGATGTGGGGGAGATGTGCTGGAGCAGACACCCCTGGATCCTGTGGGGAGACAGCAGGGCCACCCCCCTGCCACCCATGGAGGTCACCGGTGGAGCAGATGCTGACCTGAAGCCAGTGGAGGGGCCCACACCAGGACAGGAGACTGCGCTTAAAGGAGGCCAGGACTCTGAGGGGAGAAGCAGCCCCCACTGCTGTGGTTCGGCACTGGGAGGGCTGTGACACTCAGGGGAACCAATACCGGAGCAGCTCGGGAATGGCTGTGGCCCGTGGGGAGGACTCACTGCGGAGAAGGTTCATGGAGGACTGTCTGCAGTGAGAGGGGACCCCTGTGGAGCAGGGGAGGGATGGGCGACATTCGCCCCTGTTGTGGTTTGAGCCTGGTCGGCAGCCAACCACCCCGCAGCCCATCACCCACCCTTCCCCCCACACACCTGGGAATGGGGGAGGGAATTGGAAGGGTAAAGGGAGACTCGCAGGTTGAGATAGGAACAGTTTAATAATGGTAATAAAACGACAACAATGACAGTAATAGAAAATATTAATGGGCAATGCACAATGCAATTGCTTACCACCCGCTGACCAATACCCAGCCTGTTCCTGGCTAGCAATCCTGAAATACCAAGATCCTGCAACCTCAATCCCGGAAGCGAGAGAGAGCCCCTTCCCAACCACCCTTCCTCTATATAGTGAGCATGACGTTCCATGATATGGAAGATTTCATTGGCCAATTTGGGTCTGGTGCTCTGGCCGTGCTCCCTCCCTGCTCCTTGTGCACTTGGGCATGGGCGGGACATGGGGTGTCAGAGAGTCCTTGGAATCTCAGCAGCATCTGAAAACATCAGTGTGCTATCAGCATTCTTCTCATTCCAAACCCAATGCTGAATCTAAAACACAGAACTATTCTAGTTACCAAAAAGGAACATTAACTCTATTTCAGCCCAAACCAGGACAACCCCTCATCCCGAGAAGGAAGGAGCGGTGAGCTGACTGTAGCCCCCATCCCCTGCCCCTGTGCCGCTGGGGGAGGAGAGAGATGGGGAGCAGAGATGAGCCAGGGGAGAAGGGAAGGTTGGGAGGAGGTGGTTTTGGATGTGGTGGTGCTTCTCACTGTCCTCACCTTGTCTGTTAAGTGTTGTCTTCATTAGAATTTGAATTAAAGTGATGGGTTTTTTTTCTTCCCCTAACAAGTCTGTCTTCTGCCTGTAACCATCATGGGTGAGTGACTCCTCCCAGTCCTTAGATGGATTCCTTGAGCCATTCCTGTCCCATATTATCCCTCCCCATCTCTGCAATGGGGGATGGAGTGAGTGAGTGGCTGCGTGGTGCTCGGTGGCCCTCCAATGCTCCAACCTTCCTCACTGCTGAAAAATAACCTCTCTGTTGCAGCAGCTCAACCAACAACCAACCTGTAACAGCAAAAGGGAGTTTCTGCTGCCCATGTGGGACGTCACATAGGTTTGCATCGAGTTTGGTGCTGCCGTCCAAAAAGATGGACCCACTGACAGGTTTTTAGAGGCTGGAGCAATTGTAGGGTTAATAGAAATGTGTGGCACAATCAGAAGCCATTGAATTGGTGTGCTGTGTCTAAAGTCTGAGCTAAATTTTAATTTTGGTGGTATTTATTTGCTTTGCATTGGTAGGAGGTAGTGAAGGCTGTGTAGCTCAAGGTGGTTGCACCCCTAATATTCACCAAGATAAGCAAAATAATCAGTGCTGGAGGTTTATTAAGGGTTTTGCTCTCCGGGGTCTCCACAAGCAACAAGCATATTCACAATAATAATTAAAAAAAATGGCAAAATAAACCAAACAATAAAATAAATGGATCCAGTGCTACAGAAATAGAGTTATTAATGGCAGGGGGTGGGCTGGATTAGTTAAATAATCATTGAAAAGGGAGATGCAGCATCAGTGAAAAGGGAGATGCAGCAGCATTTAAGAGGGAGATGCAGCCAAAGGACTCTTATAGTTTTCTAAATAGTCATTTGTCTTACTTTTTCCCCAAAAAAGAAGCACATAAAACATTTCTAATGAAACCTGACGTTTCCATGAAGCCAAGCCAAGCTTTAAGCAGAGATTTATGGCTCCAGGAAAGCGCTGACATTGGGTTGCAACTGTCAACCAGGGCCATCTGGGTGGGTTTCACTTCTCCCTCGGTTGGGGATGCTCAAAGTGTGACTGCGGATATTCATGGCATGATGAACCAGAACCCTTCAGACTTCGCTCCATGTGCTGAGGTTGCTTAAAACACTTTTCCATGGGGAAATGGAGGATTTTGATCAGCTGGTGGCACTCACTACAGCTGCCTGGCTCCTCATGGGTTAATCTGCCCTGCCAGCTAACGAGCTAGAGGTATCCCAAATGGGACATGAGCAATTCCTCCTCCATCCAGGAGAAAAACACAGCCTGGGACTCATCCTGGCCTAGCAACCTGGGACTGGCTTCTGGTCCCCAGCTTAGAGCTGCTCCCTCGCTAACTGGGATCCAGTTCATCACCCTCACTGAGAAACTGAGATTTGGATGCACCAGGAACCGGCTGCGTATTGGCAAGAAGAGGGAAATTCATTAATTGGGTATTGAGATAAAAACCTCCCAGCGATGGGCATGAACAAATACTCCCCTGGCGTTCCTTGGAGCAGTCGTGCATCCCTAATTCCCTGAGCAATGCACAGCGCAGCAAGAAAATAAGCAAGGAAACAGCCCGAGTTCTGGGCTGGTAAAACTAAGGTGTAGATGTTTTGCCTAAAAAATAGGGAAAAAAAAATGTGGTCCTCACTGAAATAAGGAAGTCCTCGGTTACGAGCATCTGTGCTGGTGGGGAGGAGCTTTCCCAGGTCGGGGGTTGTCCTGGATGGTGATGGAGGAGATCCAGCTGAGCTGGCTGGTGCCTTTCGCATCAAATCCTGATGCGGAAATGGGATCCTGATGGATCTGCCTTCCCTCAGGGATCTGCCCATGCTGCCACGTCCTGCGTGCGCAGGCAGCTCTGCCTGAGCAGCCCCGAGCACGCCTTGTTTGCTTTAATGAAGAAAGCGGCTCCCCAAATCCATCAGCAAGGTGGAATCCAAGATGCAATCCCACCTGGTGAGAAAAAAGGTGGTGTGTGTGGCAGTGGCAGGGAGCTGGGGAAGGCCTAAAGAATGAAGGAGCGAGTGTTTTGAGGAACCTACACTCCATTTGGGGACCTGTCTTCTGCATAAGCCAAGCTGTGTGTTTCCCCAGCCCCACGTCTCCCGGCTGTTCAACCCTCCTGCTTACTAAATCACAGAATCATAGAATTGTTTAGGTTCGAAAAGACCTTTAAGATCAAGTCCAACCATTAACACAACACTACCAAGCTCACCACCAAACCATGTCCCCAAGCACCACATCTACACAGCTTTTAAATACCTGAAGGGATGGTGACTCAACCCTTTCTCTGGGCAGCCTGTTCCAATGTTTGACAATCCTTTTGATGAAGAAATTTTTCCTAATACACAATCTAAACCTCCCCTGGTGCAACTTGAGGCCGTTTCTTCTTGTCCTATCGCTTGTTGCTTGGGAGAAGAGACCGACCCCCACCTCGCCCCAACCTCCTTCCAGGTCATTGCAGAGAGCGATCAGGTCTCCCCTCAGCCTCCTTTTCTCCAGGCTGAACCCCCCCAGTTCCCTCAGCCGCTCCTCACAGGACTTGTGCTCCAGACCCCTCCCCAGCTCCGTTGCTTTTCTCTGAACACGCTCCAGCACCTTAATATCTTTTTTGGAGTGGCTCCGTTGTTTGTCACATCGTGTCACGTCATGTCCTTACATGCACAACGGTCCTTCATCTCAAATAAATAGGGTGATAAAACCTGGTTGCCAACCAAGGTGCAAGGTCGAGCACCCAAGCTGTCTCTGGCAATAGTTCTGTTGCCCAGAGCGGTGATAGATGCCCCAATCCCTGGAAATATTCAAGGTCACATTGGACGGGGATCTGAGCAACCTGATCTGGTTGAAGATGTCCCTGCTCATTGGAGGGGGGTTGGACTAGGTGACCTTTAAAAGTCCTTTCCAACCCAAACCATTAGTGGGAGACATGATGCGACAGTGGGAAACCCTGAAGAGCCCAAGCTGTGGATGCTCCCCAAGTCTGGCCTTGCTCCACGTCACCTCGCCAAGGAGACAACATGGAAACAGCCACAGGAGCCACCCAGGGTTTCCTGGCCGGCCCATTCCATGGAGGGAGATAAATAAAACACAACTGTGCCCCAAACGGTTAAGAAAATAATTTGTCAGCCCTGTTGATTTTAATCTTCTGGAATGTTTTTTTGTAAATCTGGCTGTTTACAGAGGTTTATCCCCTTCCCTGCAATCTCTCAAGGAGTGACTGAGTCCTCATGAGATGCTCGGGGCGTTAATA